TTAAAGAGTGATGGCTAGCCCGGCCGGTGTGGCTCAGTGGTTGAGTGTCGACCTATGAACCAGGAGGTCATGGTTCGATTCCCAGTCAGGGCACAGGCCCGGGCTGCGGGCTCCACCCCCAATGGGAGGCGTACAGGAGGCAGCCCATCAATGATTCTTTCTCATCTTTGATGTCTCTCTCTCCCTCTCCCTTCCTCTCTGAAATCAATAAAAATGTATTTTTTTTTTAAAAGAGTGATGGCTAAAGACATGGAATAGATATGGCAAAAGAAGTCATGGCTATCATGTGCGATAGAGAATAAAGTTTCAATGAAGCAGATAAGGGCCTTCTCTGAAGAGAAGGGGTGTGGGGGTGTAAGCTTTGGAGAAGGAAGATGTTTTATGGAAGCCGACCAAGGTGTATGTTTATTAAGGAGGTGTCACCCCACAGCTGAACCATTGGAGTGACGGTTCACAATAAAAAAAGGAACAAAACGAGAGAGCTAGATGGTTCTCGGTTGGCATGCCGGGAGACTGACAACCACAGGATGGGGCCCAGGTCTGGGAATTAAGTTCGAAAGGGTCTGGCATTGCCCATTGGAGGGAGGCTCAATTCTGAAGGTGGAAGACCTCAAAGAAGTAGGCGAGGAAGGAGCTGGCAAATCAGGCGGCACCACACACCAGAAGATCCAACTGAATCTATTTGGCACCGGGGACCGCCTTCAAAAAAAGAAACTGGGTCCTAGCCGGTTTGGCTCAGAGGATAGAGCATCGGCCTATGGACTAAAGCCGTGGTCGGCAAACTGCGGCTCGCGAGCCACATGTGGCTCTTTGGGCCCTTGAGTGTGGCTCTTCCTAAGCCTTAGGAGTACCCTAATGAAGTTAATCACAACGTACCTACCTATATAGTTTAAGTTTAAAAAATTTGGCTCTCAAAAGAAATTTCAATCGTTGTACTGTTGATATTTGGCTCTGTTGACTAATGAGTTTGCCGACCACTGGACTAAAAGGGTTCGATTCGGGCCAAGGGCACATGCCCAGGTTGCACGGGCTTGATCCCCTTCCCCCGAGTAGGGGGCGTGCAGGAGGCAGCCGGTCAATGATTCTCTCATCACTGATGTGTCTCTCTCTCTCCTTTCCTCTCTGAAATCAATGAAAAAAAGTATATTTCAAAAAAACAACAATAAAGAAAAAAAGAATATGGTTCCTTAAATGTTAAAAAAAAAAAGATAAAGAAAAGAAACTGGGAGGGCAGGAGGGAATGGGTCTCAGCCTGACTACCTGGGCTCAATCCTGGTTCCAATACTTGTCAGCATTGTGAACCTGGGCCAATTAGACTCCCGTGTGTCCGTTTCCTGGTAGAGATAATGCACAGAAATAATAATAGTCCTCCATCGGGGTGTTGTGTGCTGCACCGAGTTCTCTACCATGAAGGCTTAGAACATTGCGGACGGATCACGAGAATTCCATATTACACAGTGTTTTACCCAATATCCTACTTTCAAAAGATATTAGCTTGTGAGAACATGTCATAAATAACTTCAAAATGCAATGGGTATTTAATTTCAAGGCGTGCCTTTAACATTTATGATAAAACGTTGTGTGTTTGTTTTTTGTACTCGTTCAATAGGAACTTATCTGGCCACTGGGATAAGCTAGCCATGAAACGACTGGTCGGTCCGCAATGAAGAAAAGGCCTGTCCAGGCCTGTTTTGCTGACACGGAAGTTTCTTGGGAGGTAAATCCTGAAAGGGCAGAATCACAGACGGACTTTAGGTAGTGGTGGGGGGAGGATGGGGGGGTGGGAGGGCGTGAAGAATAGCACAGCCAGCGCACGCTGGGAAGAACGAGGCAAGAAGGGCTCAGGGTGGGGCTGTTGCAGAGAACAACAGCCTCTTGCCTGGGTCTGCCTGGTCCCTAGGGTGTCAGCGGGGAACGACTCGTGGACATTAAATGGAGCAAGTTCCATTTCAGCGAAAGCAGCATCCTTTTGTGCGCCCACGGAGGGCACCCGTTATATTGCTAAGGAGGGCGGCCAGGGGACACAGAAGGAACCTCAGATCCATGGCAGGAGTGGTGGGTCCCAGTCCGGTTGCTGCGGCTCAGTGGACAGAGCGTCGGCCTGCGGACTGATGGGTCCCAGGTTCGATTCCCGTCAAGGGCACCTGCCGGGGTTGCGGCCTGGTCCCCAGTAGGGAGCGTGCAAGAGGCGGCCGATCCGTGATTCTCTCTCTCTCTCTCTCTCTCCCCCTTCATCTCTGACATCAATAAAGTAAATAAATAAAAAGAAGGGGCCAGAACTAGTTCCTGGGCCCCGGGAGCATCCCACCTCCTCTGATTTTCACCCAGGTCTAGAGTCTAGGGAGAACCGAAGAAGCCACGCCCCTGGCCTCAAGACTCCGCCCCCTCAAAATCTGTCAAAAGCTGGGGTGCCTTTCCTTTTCTCCAGGTCCCTTGCCCGAAGGAGCAAGATTTCTGAAAATGCTAACAGTGGGTGAGAGAGGAGAGAGAAAGAGAGAGAGAGAGAACCCCCTCTTTTTCTTTTCCCATTGAATTCAGAGGAAAGTTTAGGTTTTCAGTTATTCCAGTGGTTTGCCTAGAGCAGTGGTTCTCAACCTTCTGGCCCTTTAAATACAGTTCCTCATGTTGTGACCCAACCATAAAATTATTTTCGTGGCTACTTCATCACTGTCATGTTGCTACTGTGATGAATCGTCATGTAAATATCTGATATGCAGGATGGTCTTAGGCGACCCCTGTGAAAGGGTCGTTCGACCACCAAAGGGGTCGCGACCCACAGGTTGAGAACCGCTGGCCTAGAGGCACTTCCAGGCCCAAGAACTGATGAAAAAAGGGGAGATATGCTTAAAGGAAACAAACTCTGGGGCAGACAAGACCGCGGCCATTGAGGCCCCCACCGCCCAGGTAACAAATACCGCCCTGGACTCTCCGGGGCGGCCTCGGGCCCAGCAGGACGATGGGGGGCCCAGGACACACCAGCAGGCGGGCTCCCCTGAATGGGCCACCGGAAGCGCGCGCACCCTCAGGTTCCGGCATCTCTAGTCAGACGGGACCCGGAGGGACGACGGCCTGGCTTTTTAGGAGAAAAATCTCCAGGCCTCTCTATCGCCGAGGAGATATGGCTGCTCGCCTGAGAGCTATGAACCTGCGTCGTCGTGTTTGCTCGTCAAACTGTCAGTCATTTTTCCATTTCATAAAAAAAAAAAAAGAATGCAAAAACCTGAATTCAGAAGCACCGACTCCTGAGCTTTTTCCAGAGGCGAAGGCCTTATCTCCAGGTCACTGTACCAGTAATTCTGGCCCGGACACCGCGCTAGGAAGCCCCCCCAAGTCAGCCCTGAGGGGTCCGCACTGCGGGGCGCAGAGCAACTGTTTCCAACCAAAGGTTTCCTCACCCGCCAATCGCGGGCCCCGGCCGCTTCAGAAAATCATAAACCCCTACGGGAGGTGAATGACACGAAGGCGCAGCCTATCGGCGTGGAGAAAGTGGAAGGGGGC